CCCACTGACATCCTGGTAGCTTTCATGTGTAATGCGAACTGAGATCCTACTGGCCTTTTTAACTGCTGCATCCCATTGCTTTTTTTTTTTTAAAAAAGAGAAGAGAAGAAGAGCCCTAAGGAGATATTAATAGTCTTCTTTAATAACAGAAAGTAGACCTGTTCTGGCCACTTTAATCATAAATAAGATTATCTGGAATCACAAAAAAAACAAGCATGGGAAATGGGACCCATGGAATTCTGCACTGGATTTTGAAAAAAGTTTTGGAGTCATATAATTACCATGTATAACCCATACCAGGTCAAGTCTTGGTAATACCCTCAGGGGTGGGCTGCTGGGGGTTCAGGAGAACCTCTAGCTAAGATTCTGTACAGTTCGGAGAACCCCCAAATCCCACTCCTGGCTGGCCACACCCACCCCACCCCGCCCAACCCAGGAGTCTCCACACGGCCCGTTTTGGATGCAGGGTGCGCATGGAGGCTCGGGGAGGGCAAAAAACGGGCCTACCAGAATTTCGGAAAGACTGGAACCAGGCCCATTTCTGGCCTCCAGAGCCTGGGGAGGCCATTTTCACGCTCCCACAGGCTCAAGGAAAGCATCCAAAGCCCGGGGAAGGCAAAAATGCCCCCCCCTATTGTGGTGCAGGAGGCCGACTAGACCACATCTACCATGCCCGTGCTCACCCAGCAACCGGGCAGAGAGCCCCTTGCTAAAAATTTTAAAGCCCATCCCTGAATACATTATACTCCTGTTCTCAACACCTCCACCCTTAAATATGCCTAATTTTTCGCCTGTCATTGATATTTGCCAGCGCTGTGTTCCTTGCTATTTTGTGGGGAGGGAAAAAGAAACTATGGGGCCAAACATATTTCTACTACTATACATAATTTATCCTTTATAGGATATCCTATTATCCTATTCTTCCAGAATTTATTATAAGAGAAATGAAGATCTAAAGGGCTGCATTCACTAATGGGCTAATTTAAATTAATGTTTAAATTAATTGGTAGGTATCCTTACCATTGAAAAGAAGATCATAAATCTTATCATTACCAAGCCAATATTCATCATCCTTGCCCTGTAATTGTCCGAAACCTTCTTTGTAATCAAGCCACTCTCTGCAACAAAGAGATGTACATGTATTAGCCTCAGTAGACAACTTAGTGCTAAGTAATATGTGATTATAATATTTTAATGATTATTACATTTACATCACATTCATGATAGAATTCAAGACAGTGTACATGAGATTTTTTTAGGAATATTACTTAGGATTTGCTGTAAAAATGGCAGTTATCATATGTATTCAAGCCATTCTCTCTAATTACCAGCCAATTATTTGTAAGCCTCCAATTGGGTTGTGTATTTTTTTGATTAATTATTAATTAATTAATATCTCAGCTGTATTATTTTTACAAACAATTCAGGGTGGTGAATATAAACCAACACACTTTCCTCTGCCTCTTTCTCCATAACAACAACCCTGTGAGGTGAGTTGGGTTGAGAGTGAGTGACTGGTTGAAGGTCATCTGGCTCAGGGATCTCGAACCTTTGCAAAGAGCAAAGCTGGCTGAGGAACTCTGGGAATTGAAGTCCACAAGTCTTAAAAGTTGTTAAGGTTGGAGACCCCTGATCTAGCTGGCTTTCATGGCTAAAGTGGAACTACAACTTATGGTCCCCCACTTTCTAGCCTGGTGCTTTAACCACTAGAACAAACTGGCTCTCAAGGACAAGTCTCAAATAAAAAGGTAAAGGTTCCCCTCACACATATGTGCTAGTTGTTCCCAACTCTAGGGGGTGGTGCTCATCTCTGTTTCAAAGCCAAAGAACCAGCACTGTCCGAAGACGTCTCTGTGGTCATGTGGCCGGCATGACTAAATGCTGAAGGCGCATGGAACGCTGTTAGCTTCCCATCAAAGGTGGCTCCTATTTTTCTACTTGCATGTTTATGTGCTTTCAAACCGCTAGGTTGGCAGAAGCTGGGACAAGTAACAGGAGCTCACTCTGTTATGCAGCGCTATGGATTTGAACCGCTGAACTGCCAACCTTTCTGATCGATAAGCTCAGCATCTTAACCACTGAGCCACCGCGTCTCTGTCTCAAATATAAGTGGATTGTTATATTTCCCCCCTCTTATATGGCAAGAGATAGTCAGACATAGAAGTTCAAGGGAAAAAAATCCATATTCTCAGTTAACAGAAGATGGAACAAAGGTCATTCTCCTCTGGCTCACTTTTTCCTTTCTTTTCATATTTACGGTATGAAACACTGTAAAAGAGCTTTGCATTTGGACCTGCCTGACTTCGTACTGTTGCCGGTGCTCAGTAGCCAAGTCAAATTATTTTTGGTCCAGCTCTAATGTATTTGAAATCATAGCAAAAGTAGACATTGTTTGTGTTGTTAACAGCTGTAGGAAGTTAGCAACCCCCCTTCTCCGAGAAAAATGAAATATCCAAGAAAATATTAAGAAGGCAGAATATTATATTTCCCTGGCTGTGGAAAGGGGGAAATATGTTTTTAAAGACAAAGTAGCTCCCTGCAGCTTCCTGCCCCCTGCCCCCTTTGTAAATGAACCATTAAAGGCTGAGCTACATAATAAAGGTAGGATTAGCTTTCTACAGAAACTCACCATATGGCATCTGGGAACTCAACCAAACCTGGACTCAAAACACAGCCTAGAGAGTTGCCTCTGTGGCCCCATGGAAGTCTGACAACCAATCAGAATACATTTCTTACACAGGAACAGGAAACAGAGAGGAGGGGCCGAATAGAGAGTATAAAAAACCCAGCAAGCCCCTTCTTATTTCTCTTAATTCTTCACCCAACATCTGGAAGCATGTGATCCACCTTTTCTGTTCAGGACCTCAAACCATGTGGTCCTCTCCACCATTAAACCATCTTTCTATCAAAATACTTTTTTTATTTTCCATTTTCATAACATATAACCACATGTATACTATTACATAGCCAATATGATATTGTATCAAGTAATAATTACATCAGTTCCTCTTGCCATCAACTCCCAGAAAGATAATAACCAATTATTAGCTCTTCTGCTCTCCATACACCACTTTCTTCTGCCTCTCTCCTCCCGCTCCTTACCTCCTTTCTTCCCTCCATCATCCTTTTCTACTCTACTTCCCCTTCCTTTCTCCTTCTCCTCTCTCCTCATTCCACTCCTCCATATTCTCCTCATCTTCCCCCCTTACCCTCTCTCCTATCCCTCTCTTCCTATCTTTCTTCTCTCCTCTGCTTCCTCTCATTCACTTGGTGTATTTCAGCTTCTGAGCAACCTCCATTCTATGTTTATGGTATTTATGCTTCCATATCAATATACTTAAGATATCTTAGTTTTAAAGAAAAAATAAGAGAAAACAGTATACATGTGCAATCATATTACTTTAAAATCTAACACCCCTCGTCAAGCCTAATATACTTCCCTCCCTCCCACCCTCCCACCCAGCCCTCCCAGCCTTCCCTCCCAGAACCCATACACAGTATAAATCTTTAACAAAAACAGTCTAAAATATATTTGAAAAAAGAATAGAAAATTGATAACATCTTTAAATTGAACTTAGCTCCTCCTTGCTAGGCTAACTTTAAACAATTCATATCATTCCTGATCTTAATCATTCATAAGCTATCTGGAATTTCTTAGTCCCATATTTATTTTGAGTATAATCGATCCATTTTTTCCAGTCTTGTTTATATCTCTTGTTTGAGTAGTCCTTAAGATATGCAGATATTTTAGCCATCTCGGCTAAATTTGTGACTTTCAATGTCCATTCTTAAATTGTAGGCAAATCTTCCTTCATTAAACCATCTTTCCAAGCAGACTCCATGCTTCCAATGTCTTTTCCCCCACTTTTCTGCTGAACCCAGAAGAAAAGTTTCGTCCAACACAGCCCTGTAGAAATTAGGGAGTGAGCTGCTTTGCTATCTTTTGCATCACTGTCTCTTTTTCATGGGCGTTTTTCAGTATACTGAGGAACAACAGCTTGTCATTTCTCCTCAAAGCAGTGCTTCATGCTTGAAGACTGGCAGAAACTAAGATGGCTGAACGTATTTCCACAACACCACCATTTCTATTTCCCAGTTCCCCACAAAAAAAGTTTGGATTTAATTTTAATCATCATTTCCTTGATCGTTAGCTGTGGAGATAACATACAGTAGAGAGAACACCATGAGACAATCACTGTTCATCTATAGCTGAAAAATAAGACCACCAAAAATGTTGTCCATTATCCTCTCTCTTGACCTACTGCAGAGATTTAGGGACAACAAAATTATCCTTTCTATGCTTTGTATTCAATAAAATAAAATCCATTTCTAGGGCCTCCCCTTCCACATTTCTACTTTACAATGTTTGCATTTGTTTGTGCCTTGTTGGGAAAAAAATCTAAGAAGTTTCTCTGAGAAAAAAATATATTTCTAATTCTATAGCTGCCACCTCCATTTAAAGCCTTCTTGAATATTGTGAAAATAAAGAATGCCATTTTTGTAACCAAATACATAGCTAAAAATCCCCAACTACAGTTGTTTGCTCCTATGGAAGCTGAAAGGTAGAGGAAGGTGGGAGGGACAGCACATACAGTGTATTGCAACCATTATGGTACATAATGGTACAGGCAGAGAGACACAACAGAGCTAGGAACTAAAACAAGAATTTTTGCCACAGGAAAACAGTTGATCCACAAATTCTGTACCATGTTGCAAAAGAAAATATCAGCTTTGCCAGGTCTTCAGATAAACGTGCAACTATAAAGCAACACAATTTGGCTTTTGAATCCCATAATCCTTGAGAAAAACGGAGAACAAGACTTAATTCTAGATGTGGGATATGTATTCTTGCATTTCATTTTGAAATATATTTTTCTAAGTGTGTGTGTGTTTCATAGCAAACAATGTCTGCAAATTTTATGCACATCTTTGTCTTTCTGGGGGCATTTCTTAATTTGGGATGACACATCAAGAAACCGTAGAGTCTGTCTAGGTGAGCTATTAACTACAACTATCAAAAACGTACCGGTAGAAATTTTCTTTGCCGTTGCACCGCCGTTGAATTACCGTCCAACCGCCTCCATCTGACATATCACAGTACACAAGGAAAGGTTCTCTGTCCTGTCGTGGTTTAATTCTATAGTACCCACTTTCTCTTTTTCCTCTGTTAAACAGCATTGCACAATCTAAACAAAGAAGAAGAAGAACAATAGCTCCAAATGTTGGAACTACATCCAACAATCAGGCACAGATCAGGAAAGTGTATCTTTTTCTTTAATTCCTTTATTGCCCCAAATTCATAGGATATTACTACAGATCTAAATCGTGGATGCATTTATTTAATATCCCATTTTCTCTGGACAGAGCTGAAGATGATATGTACTGACTCCCTCCTCCCATTTTATTGATTTATTTATAAAATACACACACTGCCCTTTTAGCAATAGCAATAGCAGTTAGACTTATATACCGCTTCATAGGGCTTTCAGCCCTCTCTAAGCGGTTTACAGAGTCAGCATATCGCCCCCACAATCTGGGTCCTCATTTCACCCACCTCAGAAGGATGGAAGGCTGAGTCAACCTTGAGCCGGTGAGATTAGAACCGCTGAACTGCAGATAGCAGTCAGTTGAAGTGGCCTGCAGTACTGCACCCTAACCACTGCACCACCTCAGCTTTTCACTTTCTGAGTGGGCGATTTATAAATAAAAGCCATAAAACTACATAAAAAGACAACATTAGAAACAGAATTAAAAACAGAATTGAAAGCAAAGTCCCAAAAGGCAGAGAAAGTGCCCTCAACCCACCACCCATCCCAGGGTTGCCTACCACTCATAGATCCGCCTGCCAGCTGGCAGAACTAGGTCTCCAAGCTTTTCTGAGGGCCAGAAGAGTGGGTGGGGGCAGCCTTATCTCAGGGTGCAGGATATTCCATAAGGCAGGGGCAACAGAAGATAAAGCTCTCTTTCTAGACCCCACCAGTTGAAATTCTTTACTGATGAGATCCATAGCAACAACCTTCTGAGGTAAGCTGGGACAGAGTGACTGGCCTTAAATCACCCATTGAGCGTCCATGTCAGAGGGTGGACTTGAATTTGGGTCTCCTTGATGCCACACTTGGCCACAATATCCTCCTGACTGGGCGACTTATAGCTCAGGTGATTATAGCGACTCTCCATCTCATCCCTAGTTTTCAGAACATCTGAAAGAAAACCATTGCTTTTCAATGATATCACTTTTCTTTGTTTGGGGCCCAAAGAATGGATGTCATGAATGAGCAAAGCTTGAGATGAAATGCGTCCAGTCAATTCCTTTGAACTTTCCAATGTATGCTCAGATCACCCACTGCTCTCCCAGGCAAATAAAACTGAAACATATCCCATAGGTGCTTTTCAAAAGTCAACTGGAATTTCTTGGCTTTTTCAGAACTGAAGAAGCATCTTGGATGAGAAGCAAAAAAAATTCAGGGAAAAAAAATCAAGACAGTCGTATTGCCTTTTGAAAAGCCTTTTGGGACAGCCATCACCTGGATGATTGAGAATCTCTATAAACATTTAAAATTGAATCAGTTTTAAAAGTGTAGCTTATGGTCTCAAAAAGATTGATTATATCTTATTAAAAGCTACAAATGAATAATTAGGTATTGTGGCAGAGGAATCCAAACACTAATTTGTTTTGTATGTCTCATTTGCTCAAATACCAATTCTGATGTAGACACAGATTAATCAGTTATTTAAATTTATTCATAAGGTTTATATCAGAGACACAGAACTTTTTCAGTCCCATTTTGGGAAAGATTTTAAAAGCCATACTTCCACGATAATAGAGCCAAAGTTAAAAGGCATAGAGCCCTTCTCTGAAAAATGATCCTTCTAAATCTAAAACAAACAACAATCGCTTAATCTTTCTCCCAAATTCTCAAGACATAATTTGAAGAAGCTGCCTTTCTACATGCCTTCTCAGTGGCAAGTTTCACTAGATTCAGAGCAACCACCAGAATAAATAATTCTTGTGCAATTACATTTCCAGGTAAACAAAATTTTGCAAAGTAAAAACAAATGTAAGCAAAGAACTATAGCTAAATATAGTTTATATTTAAAGCACTCACCATATTTTTCTATCCTTATAAACCATTCTTGCTTCTGCCACACCCATACTTCGCTTCTATACACTGCCTACTGAACTTTCCACTTATCTTTTTTTGAAAGTTTCATCCATTTGACTCAACAATCACTTTACTGAGTGTTTATCTCAATCTATTCATTTTGTCTTCATATACAGGTGAAACTCAAAAAATTAGAATATCTTGCAAAAGTTTTTTTATTTCAGTAATGCAACTTAAAAGGTGAAACTAATATATGAGATAGACTCATTACATGCAAAGCAAGATAGTTCAAGCTGTGATTTGTCATAATTGTGATGATTATGGTGTACAGCTCATGAAAACCCCAAATCCACAATCTCAGAAAATTAGAATATTGTGAAAAGGTGCAATATTCTAGGCTCAAAGTGTCCCACTCTAATCAGCTAATTAAGCCATAACAACTGAAAAGGGTTCCTGAGCCTTTAAATGGTCTCTCAGTCTGGTTCAGTAGGAATCACAATCATACAAATCCCCACTTCTCCAGGAAACATGGCTCTTATGATGTTTGAAACAGAATAATAAAATAATAGAATAATAGTTGGAAGGAACCTTAGAGATCTTCTGGTCCAACACTCTGCTCAAGCAGGAAACCCTATACATTTCAGAGAAATGGCTGTCCAGTCTCTTCTTAAAAACCTCCAGTGTTGGAGCACCCACACTTCTGGGGGCAAGTTGTTCTACTAACTGTTCTAACTGTCATAATATGCCTGAAAATGAAGAATCCAAAGAAGGCTATTTTTATGTTCTGAGTGGTGGAACACAAGAGCTATCCTAAGAAGATAATTCTCAAGAAAGACAGATGTATCCCATAGTGTACCTTGATCATAGACTAAGAGACTTCCACTAGTTGTGGGGAAAAACATATCCAGAGATACTGCCTTCCTGGCAGAGAAAACATTGCTTTTTCTTCTGTGATAATTGTTCCCCAGCAAGTCTTTCAACTGAAATTCGCATAACTGGAATAAATCTTGAAGCATTTTCAACTTCTTCTGTAGTTTGCTGTTTTCTAAGAGGCACTCCTCCTTTTTCTGAAAGTAAGGGGAAAATATTTTCCTAAAAAACACATCTATTTTTAACTTTGCATTTAGAGTAAGATAAAGATTCCTAACATGATCCTCAGCCTTGATTGCATATTTGTTCAATCTATGGTAATTATGATTATTCAGCAATAGGATGCCAATAGGTTAGGCCATTGTGTGTGTGTGTGTGTACACGTGTGTGTGCTAGCCTATACCAGTGGTGGGATTCAAATAATTTAACAACCGGTTCTCTGCCCTAATGACCATCCGGGTAGGTGGGGCACGGTGGTCATGTGTCTGGGTGGGCGTGGCCAACTCAAGGTCACTCAGGTCGATTGGCGCGCTTCGCCTTAGTTGTTACAATGTAATAAGGGTTAACCGGAGAGGCAGTTTCTGTAAGCAGGTCAGTGAAGATTAGGCTAGAAACAACACTACAATGTTTCCTTCCTGCCTTCCTTACAGGATTAGCCCTGTAAAGTGAAAAAACAAAAAACAAAAGGAGATTTCTTCCAACAATTGGTTCTCTGAACTACTTAGAAAGTTACCAACCGGTTCTCCCGGATAGGTGCGAACTGGCTGAATCCCACCACTGGCCCATATCATGTAGGATTTTTTCATATTGAAGGCAGCATGATTGAAAAGGGGATCAGGCTGAAGCAGAGGTGGGTTCCTACCAGTTTGCACCTATTCAGTAGAACCGGTTCGTCAAATCTACCGGACCGGTTAGAAGAGGTTCCACCAGTGGACCCGGAAAGCAGGCCACACCTACAGAAGAGGTTCCCCAAATTTTTGAAACCCACCACTGGGCTGAAGTCTTATAAACCACAACAGCTCATTATTCAACAAGTGAACAACAGGTGTGTTCATTATATATTTAGATTTAAATGTAAATGTTTAGACTATTATAATCCCCAGCAATGGCTTCGATGTTGACCAAACCAAAAAAAAAGCTAACTCTCCTTGAATGGAGACCATTTCCAAATATTCAGCAATTTTACAGGATTTTTTTTTCTTGGTGTTAGTAGAAAACTCATCACACGTAGCCAGCTTCTACATACCGAGAGTCGTGGTGCAGGTGAACAAAATGGTCCAAGGAACAGGAACACCAGCAGAAGCAGCTGAATCATTGGGATATTCATTTGACAGAGCTGGGAGGTGAAAGGGGAGGACAGGGATATTTTGCATTACAATATCCAACAATAAATTATTTTCTAACCCTTTCCTTTTTGACAATGAGAGGGATAGCCCCATGCTTTCTCTCTTCCCCTGGTTTCTCTAGATCAGTGCCTCCCCATCTTGGCCCACCTGAAGATGCGTGGACTTCAACTCCCAGAATTCCCCAGCCAGCTCTGCTGGCTGGGGGATTCTGGGAGTTGAAATCCACGTATCTTCCAGTGACCAAGGTTGAGAAACACTGCTCTAGATGATAACTAATTAAAGCCTGTGTTTTGGGCACAGTTTTATTTATTTTTTATTTTTACATCTTTTATTTTCTATTTATTTGCACTATTAAAAAAAAAGAAGGAAGTATTATTAGGTTTGGTTTTATTGCTGTGCTTTGCCGTTAACATTTTGCACTTCCTACACACTTCCCACTGGGTGGCAGCAGAGATGCAGGAAGTCTTTTCTATTTGCTTTGACACCAGCATTCTCCAGAATACCTATAATTCAAATTTCTTGGGCAGTTTAAGATAGAAACCAAGCTTGCTGTCATAAATTATCCTCTGCAGATTTGGATGCCAGATTCTGCTTGGAGATTCTCTAACAGGACACAGATTAATTTATAGTTCCTCTGGTGTGCAAGACAACCTCATGTTCGCCTCGCTTTTTATTCATCTACCCAAATCATCTCCAGCTACAGCAGTCCTTAGATTTATAGGCAGACAGTATTGCTATCTGATTCTCTTCCAAAGTGATTGAGATATAAAGCATTACAGCCAAAGGAACACAGGGAGAAAAGCAACTTCCTTTTTTAAAAATTTGTTATAGCAGCAATGGGACTTTCATTGTGATATGTTGCCATACTGGTTGCTTAGCTGATCTCCAAATATTTGTGTTCACACATGGCACTCAGTGTAAACCTTAATGTGATTTAGGGAGAGTGCATGAACCTAAGCCTTGGAGATGCTGACCACCTGATATCTATAATTTCTGGGCTGGCAATTGCTCAACTTCCTATCAACCATCAGTAAATTGCATTTGCACAAAATGCAAAATGTTAATCATGCCTCAAACACCACTGAATATGCCCAATGCAACATGAAAACCAACAGGTCATAGTTTATTATTCTCCCTACAAGCTTCGTTTTGTCTGGGGCTTCCTGTTTTATTCATTTAGCTTTGCTAGGGGCAAAAACAACCATCCCATTAGGGTGGAAAACCAACATTGTATGAAAAGAGGGATGAACTGGGTCATGCAACACTCGTGACATTCATGAGACTGGAGGGATATTTTACATATAGGGGGCTTCATTATTTTGATCATCAATTCCGTGGCACAAAACCGTGGTCCACTAAAGCGCGCCTGATTAAAGCGCGTCGCCGACGTCATCAGCAGCGCGACAACAGCAACCGCGGAGAAAAAAGGGCGCTTTAAAAAGTGCTTTGAAAGCAAGCCGATTCAAGTTAAGGTAAGGGTTAGGGTTAGGGTTAGGGTTAGGGTAAGGGTTAGGGTTAGGTTAAGGGTTAGGGTTAGGTTAAGGGTTAGGGTTAGGGTTAAGTTTAG